CATATAAATAATCCAGTACATTTTCCTAGAGCAGTTCAAATATAAATGAGCCCTTTTTAGCAGAAACCCACCTTCTTTTGAATGTGTACCAGGGGCCACATTCCACCAGCTACATCGTCAAGAATGGGACTAAGCCGCTGACCACAATAGGTAAAATACACCCTGCCTTTAGGGGCCTGACCAGGTGGAGGTGGAGTGCCCTCAGAACGCTCCCATCCAATTCCAGCTACATCACCTGTGTTCATGCAGATGGAACATCCACATCTCAGTAATGGCTTGATGTGAACAGGTCATGACACATTTTAAAACATGCTAACATAGGAAACAGCTCAAGTTAGATTAAGTTAAGAAAGCAAGATATGCTTTTCAATCAGCTTTTTGAAAGAGCAGCCTGGTAAGCAACATTGCATGTAAAACGTTTATTTCAAATCCATAACAGACTGCCGTATGGATTTCCAAGCTGTGTAAATCAAACAAAAGAAATGATCGATTGAATATGGAAAGAAAGATATTTTGGCTACTGTCTCACCAGGAAGTAGAGCCACATCCAGCCTGACACTCTTCCATTGCAGCAGACTGGAGCCATTATAATGCACTGCCCTACCATTACTGACACACACAGACAGAGAGGAGACAAGCACACAGAGACAGCATGACAAAAAAAAGAGTAAAGCAGTCAGCAATCAAGTAAGAGAAACAGAGCAGAGGAAATCCAAAGGGAGTATCTTCGCTTTAATAGCTACATACTTATGGAACAAACATGTGCCAACAGGGTTGGTCCATGCTCCATCCCTTTTCTCTGCTTCAGGTGCAAAACCAAAAGACACAATTGGCCCACTGTCCTCCTCTGAGTCTCCATAGGAGACAATTTCTATCTCCCAGTAAAACGATGGTGCCTGCAAGGACAAAGAGAGAAAAGTTTAAACTATGGACAGGCTCCAAGTAAATAATTATAAATAAATAAATTATAAGTGAATAATTATATTTCATACTAATCGTTGATATTTGTTCAAACAAACTAAAATACTGCAGGAGTGGATTCCTCTGATGTGCCCACCTGAACTGGTACGGGAGAGGTTGCGTAGATGAAAGTGCCTCTGGGAAGCCCTCCTCCAGCACTTGGATCAGCCAAGAAGGTGACAGAGGTCAGACGGGATGAAAACATGCAGGCACGGACTGGAGGGAAAACTCTGGATGGACACCAAGTAATCTCCTTTGGCTGTTAAGACAAGCAGATCAAAGGTGAAAAGACAGAAGGAGCCCAAAATAACCTCTATGTATTTATTTGTCTATGTATTTAGGAGCCCCTACCTGACGTCTGTCCGTCTGCAGTGGTGGAGGTGGTGGACGAGCACAGTCCCGATACAGCATTCTTACTCTCTCACATTGAGCTTCAACCATGCCAAGGCGCTCTCCTGCACAAGATGACAGAAATGTGTCAGACACACAGTTGCTAAAATGGTATCGTGCTGAGAAGTACCAGCTGATGACATATCTGTATATGCTCACCAGGGCTGCACTCCTGGGCAACCAGGTTGAGAACCTCAACAGCAGCCGGACACTGCTGAATGAACTCTTCACAGAAGGAGCTGTCCTCTAGAAGTTGGGCCATCACCAGACACGCCCTGACAAAAAACAAACAAAAACAACAACATCACATCATATCACATAATGATGCTCCAGTCTGAAGGGGTTTACATTTTAAATATAAGATAGTTTCCCCTTATAATGCAAGTATGAGACTCAGACTAAAAAGTTCAAAAGTTGATTCCAAATTCAAACCCCAAGATATTTTGACACAGACCTGACCAATCAGACAAAATGCACAAGGTTACCTGCATTACTATTTACTCACCTAGTTCTGATTTCAGCCAGCAAGCGCACTGCAGCCATTACCGGGCTAGAGCCATCTCCGGTAGCTGGTAAAGAAGTGTGAATAGAGAGACTGCCCTCCTGTGGCAGAAGCATAGACTGCACAGCTTGTACCACCTTCTCTGTGATTGATAGCTTATAGAGAGGAAGAGCCTGTTGTGGGGAGAGCCAAAAGTGACAATCAGATTGCCACTTTTGGCCTATAATAAGAACTGTACATAACCTATTGTTGGAATTCTTACCTCAGATCTGGGAGTGCAGAGGCGTGATATTGGTACTGTCAGGATATCTGAAGCTTTGCAAGCTTTCCTATACTCGCAAGACGGAAACTTCACAGTAGCGATGCCCTCCTGCTCATTTATAGACATAACTATACCCACACTCCCCAGCACTCCTTTACCTACCACCTGCAGAGCAAAGGAAGCACGATAAAAAATGACAGTAGTTCATTTTTTCAGTGGTTTCAATGGATTGGATCACACCATCTTGATAAATATATGCAATAATAATGTGTGGTATCTTTGATATATGAACTAACCTGAACCTCAGAACCAATCTTGATAGTTTCTTTAAAGCCTCCAAGAGCACAGAGTGCAGCAACAGCCTGTCTGCCAATGGCCTGCAGTTTAGCCAGTTTTCTGCCACTGCTGCTGCCGTTCTCCAGAATACTCTCAGCATACTTGCCCAGCTGAGGGATAAACATTAGCGCCCGGGAGAGAACCTGCAAAACAGCCATGAGAAACACTATCAGCAAACAATATCAAGTATAATCATTGATATGGAGGTAAGAAACAGGATAATGCTTTACTTTCTCAGCAGTGCTTGTCCAGATCTGAGCAGTGTTGGACTCAGGAGCAGTGAGCAGACTATGAAGCAGGGCTATGACCTCTGCAGCCATGCTGTTGGCAACATGGCCACTGATAAATGGGCGTACCGGGTCTGACCTAATTAAGGCAGATTTTAAGAAGAAATGTTACAACCAAAGATCAGAATATGTATCTGCAACATACACCTACAACCTGGCAGTATCCACTTGCAAATATGACTGCAAATATTAAATGATTCATTTTGTATAAAATGTCTAAATCACAGAAACAGCACCTGGCCAACTCGGCATTCCTGTCTCTGCAAACAGCAGTCTGAGCAGTTTTCTTCTTGTCGCCAGCAGTAATGCCCCCAGCAGTCTCTTGGGCTAAAGTCTCCACAGGTGGACCAACGCTCACTATCAGACCAGACTGGGCCCACTTGTTAGCTTTCCTCAGGGCAGCAGATGCTTCTTCTGTAATCACCTCACAGCATCCACTCTAAATAACATTTAAAATAGGACAGAGATAAAGATGGCAGTTACAAAAAACAAAACAAAAAAAACAAAAAAACAGGCACTTTATGGTTCTGGTTTAGTTATTTTTAAGTTACCTTTGTCATGTCTCTGTCCATCTTTACAACTTTTTCCATGTTTGCTCCAGTGCCCAGTCGAAAGGGACGCCCCTCAGAGCTGCTACATTTTGGAAAGAGTGGAGAAACAGTAAAGTCAGAAACACCCAGAGTAAGCTTGCAAATGTAAACCCAAAACAAAAATATGAGGTGAAATCATACCTAAGGAGTGGTTGTAAAACCTCATGAGATGACTGGTCCTCTCTCTTGTGGATAAAAATCGAAAGCTTGCCATCAACTGCCTCTCCCTCCTCCCCAACATCATCAGACTTGAGAGCTCCTTTGGAACTGGCACGAGAGAGACTTGTGTCTGGCTCAGAGGAGCTGGGTGAGAGAAGAGTCTGACAGCCTGGCAAATAGAATATAGGAATAAGAAGGAGAAGACAATTTTATAACCATCCAGTATAGTTGCTTTACCATTTTTGCCTTTATTCAGATGGTGGACAGCATTTAGAGGTTCTAGGTAAGAGAGACAAACCTGGTACTACATAGTCTGCCAGCTTGGCTAGCAGCAAGGCAGCAATGCGCGAGGCTGGATCATTGGCATCTTGTTGCTCAGCATCTAGCGTGTTAATGGAGTAGCTCCACGAGGGCAGAGCCACATTACCGCAGTCCTCCACACTCATGAGCGGCAGGGCAGCACGACACAGCTGCAGGATGATAAGTACTAGCTTTGGTGAGGGCCTCTGGTCGAGCAGAAGAGACAAGAGCTTGGAGACACAAGCTGGCTGGCTCAGGATGGCTTTCCCTATGTGGCTCCTAAAACATAAACATACACTGTATGAATTGTCGGTGTTGCGATATACAAAAACAGGTGATAATTAATAACCAAAAAAAAGTGTTAGAAAAACAAAAACATGATAATACATGGCGCACAATCCAAGGCCAATATAGCTATAGAGTCAGTCTCAATACCAGTTTTTTATGCCTCTCCTCTCTTTCAGTAACTACTACATTTCAGCCTCAGATCATCTAAGGTAAGGTGACCATTATTACCAGCATTCATTTTTCTACTGTTGTAGCTACTTCTCTCACACACTTGGAGACTCACTTCGATAAACAAAACCACAAAGTGAACTGGAGTTTTTTTTCTCTCTGTCTCTCACATGCTCTTGTTTGGCTGTTATTACAGTATGCTGTAGAACTGCAAGAACTGCAGGGAGGCTGACTGTTGAGGACTTAATTCTTGGTATAATTGCTGATTTGTTATTAACTCTTTCTGTGGCTTCTCAGCTTCTCTCTGCACCATGAGTTACCGCTAGCTGTTCCATTAGAGTGCACTACTCAATCATTGGCTTCGAGTCCCAGGTGTGTCTGGTATTGCAGCTGGCTTAATAAGTCACTGCAGATTGGTGCCCTAATATAGCAATGTGATATTTAGAGTTCTGTGTATATCAGTAATATTTATTCACTTTGCTTTTGTCCCTAAGAAAAAATAAATTACATTTTAATATCCTCAATATATATTATGAATTTTATTAGATTTTATTAGATTTATTACAGTCTTTATCTCATTTTATATCCCAGTTATAATCACCATGATCCAGCAGATGTCCATGCTAAAAATCTTGATCCACCAAGAGCTAAGATAAATAAACTTAAGTTTTTCAGTGTTTCTACACATCATGGTTTCTCATCATTTCTTTTAGCTACTACATTATGACAGTGCTACCATGAACACCCAAAACACACAGAAAAATTACATGAGATAAACTTTACCTGGAAAGATCATTGAGCAGACTGAGCACATCCTGTAACGCATCATTGCCGGCTGCCTGATTCCCACAGCATTCTGTGGCTCTTGCCAGGTGATTGGTCAGCAGGCTGGATACCTGTCTTGCCAGACCTGAATGAACTGCATCTGTAGATCCACCTTTGAAGAGTAAAAGCAAAGACTGTTAATCCATCATCATAATAATCATAATATTTCATCTTACAACATGAAAAAAAAAGCCTTTTAGGAATTTGATCAAAGTATCTACAAACTTTTCATACCTTCCACCTTCTCCCACTCAATACATCGGTTGGCCAGCACCTGAAAGGCTGCCCAAGCCATGGTGGCCACCTTCTGTTTTTTGGTCTGCTTTTCATTTGAACTGCATTCCCTCTGCCCACTTAAGCTGCACAGGCTATCCATAAGCTGAACCAGCCCACTGCGAACGAGGCACTGCTCCTCACTCCTATGATAACACAAGTAAAAAATTAGGGTAAGCAATCAAGGCCTTGGTTGCAGGAATATTAAACGAGATAAGTTAAAATAGGTTCGCTTGCCTGGTGTAAGGGATTGTGCAAAGTAAGCCAATACTGTTGGCACAAGCAATTGGGTAGCGTGCACATAGTGACACTACAGACGTCATGGTCTCCCCAAAGGCCTCCTGCACCTGCTCTACCATTCCCCCACAGGTCAGCTCCTCAATCCTGCACAGATGGCACACAAACAAAAAGTTTTAAAAAAAAAAACACAATTCCAAATGTTTGTTTATAGTTTAACCTGACAGCTCAAAATCATAACTACAAGAATATATATATTCTTATATTTCATCAGTGTGCATAATCAGAGTACACTCAAATTTACATTTGCTGTTCCTCCTCTAGTCTTACCTTGGTCCACCTTGCAGTACCATAGTGACAGGTCCTACTAGGTGGGTGACCCCACCAACTCTAACAGCAGCAGTGAGCAACTCCCTCATATGAACAAGCGCCTGCTTTCGTGTGCTGCCTCGCCGCCAACGTGTCTGCGCAGCAGACAGGAAACTACTGCTTGAGACCTACAGACAAAAGAGCTACAAATTACCTTAATGCAAATCAGAATTCCATCCATTTATTTGAATGCATCTATGCCAAACAATAAATTTAAAGCACTGGCAAGAGTGAAAAACCTACAGCCTGATCAGGTGTAGTTCCAATAAAGGCAAAGAGTTGTCCCAGCAGCACACTGTATGTTGGCTTGTCTCGGCTGTCCTCTATGGCCAAAGACTGCAGCAGGGTAAATGAGCTGCTGCGATGACTAGTAGGGTGGTGTCGCCTTCTGAAGATAAAAAGGTTTGCAAATACAGTCAAACACTCTTTATTCCTATAAGTTACTTGCATTCCTTTTATCTAATACAGACAGAAGAATACCTTTGTGGCGCATGTGTAAACTCCAAGTCTTGGTTAGCAATCATCTCCAAGTCAGAAGGTGCAGACATGCTACGCAAGAAGACTGGCTGCTTCACCGTGGGGATCACTGTCTTGGCATCAGACACAGACTGAGAGGCTGAGAAAAAACAGAAGAAGAACTGGGTGAAAATCAAACTTTAACAGTTACTGACATCTAATTACACAGAAACACAGATACCTATAAAAACTTTGCTTTTTTTTCTCCAATGGAGAAACATCCCAAGTCTGAGTTACATAACAGTAGTCATATGCTTAAATCTTAATATTTCAGGAGCGTAGATGATTTTAATCACAGGTCTAAAACATCTATTTAAAGCCGTGGTTTCCAAATAGTGGTCAGTGAGTTGCATAACCATATGTTATTACTGCATTATACTTCACAAACACTTCTGGGTGACTTATTAAATTTCAGGTGCAGTACTTTGAATGTACTTGTTTTCAAAGGATAATAAAAAGCCATCACACACTGGGTATGAACCAGCGGCAGCAAGACAGTTGGTTAGATTGTATGAAAAGCTTTGAAAAGGTAATACATGTAAGGCATATGCTAGTGCAGTCAACACTCATGCAAAAAAAATAAAAAATCTGATAAGATGCTTGACACAAATAGCCTGAACGTGTCTTTGTCTGACAGTATAATCAAAAGTTATACTCTCGTTGATGTGCCTTGGGCACAACAAAAATTTGAAAACCACGAGTTCAAAGAAAGAAATCTTTAATTTCAGTCCTGCTAACCAGCAAAGCATCACTTGGAAACAACACCTGTAACAAAAGATGGCAGACAAACAGATACGCATTTACCTGGGCCTGGTGTGCCAGCAGGTGTGCTGGTTAGACTTCTGCAATGTGGAGCGATGGTGACATGGAGCAGTAGCTCAGTGCGGTTCATTAGACTTTTCACCAGAGTTTTAGTTTTAGCAAGAGGGCTGCTACTTCTGATGTGTTTACTGTTCACCTCCTGAAAGAACTTCTCCCTGTTATTGCAAATAAATACTGTTAGAAAACGAACTGACCTGTAAAAGTCTAAATGAGCTACATAATTAATACTTGCCTCAAAGCAAGGACAACATTTTCCAAATCACTAAAATCAAGTGGGACCTCCTTCAGTGAGCAGAGTAATTCCAATTCCTTCATTTTGTTCTGGTGATGTTAAAAAAAAAAACAAAAAAAAAACAAGAGACAGAAAACCAAAAAGACACAAAAAGAACAGACTTAAATAACTGAGATCTTATCATTGGTTGATTACAGAAATTAGTGTATCTGTGGCAGTCTACCTCAAAGAAGTGGTAGTCGTGAAAAAATGGCGTGTTGTTCTCCAGTTTTCCTTGTTGGGCCTCCTCTACCTCATTCTGCCATTTCTGTTCCAATTCTGCTACACTCTGAAAGCAACACAGGAAATGATTAGACACAGTATTAGTCTTCCACTCTTTTTTGTCTTAAGGTCTGTCTGTTTATTTATTTATAGGTACTCTTTCTTTTTAGAAAGATTAGATATTCTTATTTCTTTTTTGTAGGTACTCTTTAACATTAACTTTATTTGAACTTAAACAATTGATTGATTGATTGATTGACTGATTGATAATACTTTATTCATCCCGAGGAAAATTGGCTTAATAAATTAACCCAATAAATTAAACTGCTCAAATAAAGAATTCTAATCTTAACCTCTTATTTAATAGCATGAACAAAAACTGAAAATACAACAATATCTTTCACTTGTTGCAAGCATAATTAATCGATAAAATACTGTTTTCAAAAAACCTTGATGGTCAGCATAAACTTACCTGCAGCTGCCGCTCCATAGCATTAATCTTCTTAAAGGTCTCAGCCATGATCTTACAGAGCAGGTCATATTCCTCTGTGTGATCCTCGCGGTATTGGTAGTTGACGAGTGACTGAAGCGCATCCACCAGGCTCAAATGTTTGATCACGCAAGATACTATTACCTCTTCCATAACATCTGGTCTTATCACCTCCCTTACAAAAAACAAAGAACAAGCTAAAAACGATTGTGAACTGAATTAACATGAACAAAAACCTTGATATTAATATCAACTCTGTTGTGACTCTTGACTCTCCTTCAGAATATATAAAAACCAGAAGCCCTAAATTTGTAGGGTGTTTATCTCAACCATTTAGGGAGAGTGACAAATCCATGTACAGTATATAGATGCCATACTCTGTCAAGACTGAAAGAATTAATTTCTTACTTTATGCTTGGGCGGAATTGTGGTCGAGCCCTTCCGGACACTTCTCGAAGCCTAGACATGATGCCCGGAGGAAGGCGAATTCGGGGCAAGTCAAAGTAGGTCCCTGGCATAAGGCCTGGAGGTGGGATGAGCACGTCAGCTGGGTAAGTGAACTCCCGATCCTCCTCAATAGTGAGTGGCAGAGGTGAAGGACTGGGCGTGAGGGCTGGAGAGATGGCACCATTTGCTTCCACCTGCCACTGACACCTAGAGGGAAATTTCTTTTTACTCATTTTAGGCTGCTAGCAGCTCAGCTGTGACTCAGCTAGATACCGAAGAAGAATATGTAGTAATCCTTACATGTAGGACATCACATTTAGTTACTATTAATGGGACACATTTTATTTTAGCTCCGTTACCTTTGCAGCAGCTTTGAGCAGAGCAAATCATGGCAGGCCTCCTCCTCTTTTGTCACCTCTGGCCCATTATACAGAATGCGGAGCATTGAGCAGGCCAGCACTGACAGCCCCAGCGCAAGGTCTGCCAGAAAGGGGAGACCTCCAGAGACATCTTCTGATGACTCCTGTAAAAACAAAAAAAGATATACAGGATCTTCAGAATACTTCAAAAAGTAAAAATAAATAAATAAATTATATAGAGAGAGATGTTGACGACATTTGAATTGTTACCTGAGCTCTGACAGTGCAGGAGAACCCCCACATGGCTTTATCAGGGGTATTATGTTCACGTCCACTTCTCATCTCAAAAGAAAATGTCACTGTGTCTCCTTCAACCTAAAGCAGAACACAGAGCAAAATGTAGCTCTTCAAACTATCTATGAACATCTATCAATGAATAATTCATACTTGCTTTTATTACCTTCACAAGGTCTTTGGGCCATCCTGTCCCCAGGACACTGCGACTGCCATAACCCAGAGTGTTTCCTCCATACTCTGCTACTTTACGACTATTGGTGTTGGGACCGGCATAGATAACCAACTATAATAATAGAGAATGTATTTGTTTAAAAAAAAAATCCACAATACCATTCTTCAGAAACTGAACAAAAAGATGTCTAAAGGTGAAGTATGATTGTGTCTCCAGCTCGTACACAGGAAGAGTCATTACCTTGTCATAATCATACTGTGATGAGCAGCGAGAATCAAAGCGAAGGTACAGGCACCGGGCTCCTGGGATGTGTACGGTCTCCTTGAATTTGTAATTGTCCCTTACAGGATGCACAGTCTCTACTGTTTTCCCAGCAGCCCATGGAGCAGGGATCTTCAGTCCTGTCAGGAAGCCAGGCTCTTCACGTTCATCAAGAATTCTAGGATACAAATAAGTTAGTCATTTTAAAAATTGAGCTTAAGACACAGCCGGTGCCATGAAGAAAATCACCTCTTCAAAATATTTATTATGCAAAATCACACTCCCTGGCTTAATTCTTATGGTGAAATCTAGAAAACTCACTTGTCATCAGCAGTGCATGTCTTTGCTCCCTGGCCCAGAGAGCCACCAGCAGGCAGAGACTCTTCAGTAAAAAGCGGAGACTGAGTCTTTAGTAACAAGGCAGTCTGAAAAACAGAGTGGAAAAAAGCAACTTAATAACAGCTGCTTTTTCTACTCAAGGAAATATACAAGAACCATCTCCTCCTTGACTGACAAAACTAACCTGGCTGGTATAGAGCACCAACTGCACCAACTGAGGCATGAGGGCATCAGCGAGGGTGAGGGTTTGCAGGTTTGGGTGCATCAGAGAGGTGAGCAACACCGGCAGCAGGTGCCCAAGCATAGTGGCCTTGGTAATCTGTTCCAAGCCTTTCAACCTTAACAAAATGAAGATAAAAAACAAGTGAAAATTTTAGTTTTGCTGTTAGCAGAAAAAAAAAAACAAGATGAGAAGAGGAAAGTCTGGCACAGTGATTCTAAGAACCTGCTTTAATAAATACCACCTCCCTCACTGTTCCATTTTGTTTTAACAACATCAGCATTAATCAGGTTCAGTTAAATCTTCTTTCATGGTGATATAGTACACAAGACCCAACAAAGCGAATTTCATGTCTAGTTTAATTTCTGACAGGTACATTCTGGTCTTACAGTGATACAAACTGGCTTCAAATGTCTTCGTGCAATGTTCCAACATAAGTGGTAAAAAGATTTTAAAGGAATCAAGCAAACGTATTTAAAAGTTCACCTGGTTTCTCTGTCAGCTATGTCGCTGTTAATCAGAGCAGTGGTGACCTGCTGTAGGGTTTCCAATACTTCATCACATCCCACCAGGATTTTGGTTGCTAAGGACAGGATGCTGCTTTGCAGCTCCTGAGGATGACACAGAGTAGGCCCACACTTACGTAACACTGCTTCCAAGATTTTCAGTAATTACATTCACTCAATATGTAACTATTAATACATACTCCATGCCAACAGATTAAAAACAAACTCTAGATTGTTCTGTTTCATTGCTGTCATCAGTAACCTTGAGTATGAACACACCGTTTTTCAACAAATAATAAATGACATCACAAAAAACTGCACTGCGCACAAACTCTTCAGCATTACCCTTAAAGAACTTCAAAAGCCATTGCTTCATTTGGTGTGTTGGTCTCTCATTGACACACACACAGACTCCACTTTCAAAAAGGTAGGGGTATTTAAAGGGGATGTTTACCTGTACCTTCATTGTTTCCCCTTGTAGGGAATTGTCACTGTCATCACTATCATCCGGACGGATAAGAATGGTATTACTGAGGAGGTGGTTCTGAACAGCCATGAGGTAGCGCAGACTAGGTGAGACCACCTAGAGAGAAGGGAAACCATCTTAAATTGTATGAATGCAATCTTCCAAGCCATAATGATCTTAGTCTGGATTGATAGCATTTAAGTGCTGCTGAATTGATATTCATACTGGCACAGTGGAGAGCAGTTTCTGGAAGTCATCTCGGGCGACAGTCTGACATTTGGTGATGAGGAGGCAGGATTCTCGGACTACAGTCTTGAGGATACAATGCAGCAGCTCATCATTCAATCTGTAAAAGAAGACAGATTTCCACAACTTTAAACAAACACAGATCTAAAGAGAAAAGATAGTATTGTTGCCACAAGGCTGCCACTTGCCTGTAGTGGTCATCCTCTTCACTTCCAAATCTATTCTTCTGCAACTGTTCTGCCAAATTTGTAAGGATGACATCCCGAAGTTGAGACAATCCACTGTTTCTTTCACCTGAATATTAAAGGTAAAAAACATACACCATGTGAGAAATAATGAGAATAAAATACAGGAGGTGTCACTTAAATTAAAGCCTGAGCTGCCAATCACCTTCGGTTAGAACCAGTTTCAGTAGTTTGTTGAGTTCAGCCTCCCCCTGATACAAAATATTGAGGCCTGAGCTACAGAGAAGAGGTTAAAAAAAAAAAGAAAAAAAAAAAGGTTCATTAAAATGAAATCATGATCACAAATCCAACCATTACTTCTGTCTTTGAGTAATTGTAACTTACCTAATAGCCAAGCAGACTTCTCTCTGAATTTCTGCTCCTATCTGGTCCACTGGAGCCATGAGCAGCTGCCACAGTAGGAGTCCTGCACGGCGCACACTCTCCCTATTCTGCTCTGACTGAGGATTGAAAAACCTAAACACTACCTGTAAATGGTAGAAAATATACACAACAACGTTAGAATCACACAGAAAATGCTAAAGGTTTTTTTGGCAAAATTCAGCTGCACCCAAAAATCACCTGAAACACAACTAAGATACAGTGGATGATGCAGGTGTCACCATTGACCATGGCCTTTTCCATAATGTCACAGATGCTGCTGAAGTGACGGGCCTCAATGGGGTGTTGTTTTCCCAGTAAGGCCCCCAAGGGCAAACTGTTGCTGCTGGCTGCCAGCAAGTTGAGCTGGTGGATACACATAGCACCTACATGATGAAGCAGCTGGTTGATCACCTCGCCAGTGGCCACAGTCTCCTCTGTTAAAGGACAAATTATGCAGATCTGTCACTTTTATGATTTAATCTTATAAAACAAGCCACTTGTTGTTTACATCACCTACCTTTGGGTTCTTTGATGACGTGGCTGACACCGAGTCTATGGCACACATGATGAAAGGCTTGGTTCCCGGGGTTGCACCACTGATCTATGTAATCACTGGAGCAGGTCCAGATCAAGTTGTTCAGTGCATCATAACACGCTCCTTCAAAGAATGCAGAAGTAAAAGTTATGTAGTGCGTGACTATTTGCCGCACGTAAGTAGAAGTAAAATGTGACAAGTTTTCAGCTCACCTAGCCCTGCCACCTGGGCTCCCCTGCCTAAAGAACTGCCAGGAGCATCAATGAGGTCTGCGCGACTGCTGAACTGACCATCAGCCAGGTTAAAGACCAGACTGGAGGCCAAAACTGAACGAAAAACATAAGAGCTACAGTTAATAAACTCATGACTTAAATTATGATACAAAGCAGTGGGGGGTGGGGCATTCCCAAAATTCTCATTAACCATTAACATTAACTCATTAACCCATCAAGATGTTACTATTTTAAATGCTGTGTATTCACCAGCAATTAGCCACTGTCATAAATGATGCTTAATACTTATTTGGAACATCAGATTTAATCAGATTTATACAGAATATCTACAGGCAGCTAGTAAGCTTAGTGTCTGACTTTCTAAAATTAAAAATAAAATAAATAAAAAGTAACCAAAAAACAAGTGACAAAAAACTCAACATAATCAGGATTTAGCAGTGAGCCTGTGCATGTGTTTGCATGCGCTTACTTTTAAGTGAGGAGAGGCTGCTGGTACCTCCAAACAAGGAGCGTGTGGCAGAGCTCCCAGATACACCAGGAGGTGAAACCAGCATTACCAGATAGGTGCCACAAACATACATCGGGGTCCTTCTCAGAGTCTTTAGAGGGAGTCCACAGCTAGTATTGACCGCTACAAAAGGATTCAACAAAATATTTTAAAAACCACATCATCCAAATGAATCACAGCATGTATGAACTTTGGATATTTATAGTTTCTCTACCATTACCAGACTGCTCCTCTTTGACAGTGTTGGTGATTGCAGAGCCTGTGAGAGCAGCCAATGTGGCAGAATGGGAGGCCCGGAAGCGTGACATTCGACTTAAGAGAAGTTCATTCAAGCACTTGGAGGACTCGCCTTCTTTGCGAGTAAGGATAACCCTCTCCTGCAAGATGTCTGCAACACACAACCCTGTCTGTGTCTGCACCATGTATAGGAGAGAGAAGACATCAAAGATTTAATGAAGACACAGACAAAATAAATACTGCTGAGACTATATTGCAGGGCACGAGATACTCACCGACAAGTGAAAGACATCCATGAAGACAGAGTGGCCTTTCTGTGTTTTCTCATTGAGGCTGGCTGGGGACCACACCCAGTACAGATAGGTTCCGTCTGAGCAGAGGTGCAGTGTGGTCATGCTGCTGCCCACGGGGAAGTGATGGGCTGGCATGGGCACAATCTGGCACACCTGAAGAGAAAAGAGTGAAAATTAGCCTTAGGTATTAGTTATACTTGAATTTTGAGATACCAAATTAAACAGTACCCCTCTGTGTCCTTTGTACCTGCGATGAATAAAGAAAAACATTCTCCCACTAAGAACTTCATGATCTGTTGAGATTATACATCCCATCTACAGAATTTACAGAATAAGTCCACATACATCTTAAAATAGAGTAATGAAAGTAGACAGTACCTGGAGGGTGAATGGATCAATGACCTGGCACAGCTGATGTGGCTTGGCATCAAAGGATGAGGGACGGTGGAGGAGGCGGCCGCTGCTGAACACCACCCAGCCGGGCTCCAACTCTTCATTTCGACAATACACAAATCCCCTATACAAACACATAGCACTGATTCCTTTGGTCTGCATTTGGAGTTTATTCCAAGTCATACTAAAGATGCTCAGGCAGCTCACTAAAACATTTTGTTGGTTTATTGTTTAATTTGTCACTCAACTGTGAGTTTTTGGTCAAATCCTGTAGCTACCACAAATTAAATCAAACCTTACAATCAATAAGAATCCAGAAATGTACGGTATGTGTTGATCGTATAAAAACTGACAGTGTGCCTTCCTTCTTTTTACGCAGTCACTTTGCTTTGTTGACCTTAATGAGAGTAGACTTTGACAAGTTATTGACAGCATATTGTCTAACTGTTGGGAAGCTACTTGTCATACTGAGTGTTGCTGTGAATAGCCACAGTAAGAAGAGAAAATGTGAGACGAGCAGCATGGGTTGATCAGCGTCAGTACAAATTCCCATCAGGACACAAGCAGCTTACTGCAACTCTGTCTCTTTTTGCAAGGCGGCACTCAAAGCATCTGTCTTTAACTCTAATTTAAATCAAATTCTCAAATGGGAATTTTAGCTTTTTAAGGTAATATTTCTGAGACCGATTAAAAAACCCCCCAAAAACAAATAACAAAAAACCCCAAAGATACTTAAAGCATGCAGTTAGCAATACCCTGGCCTGATGCGTGCTACTTCTTTCATACAAGCTGCTTTGCAAACAATAGCTAGAATTACAACCATTTACGTTGCAGTTGAAATCCAAATATCTGTTTTGTAAGGTCACAGTGTGCTTTGCCCTTCAGAAGCTGGCTGACCAATAATGCATGTATACCCTCATAATGTCTCTGGACAAATTCTGGGCTCAATCAGCTCTAAAAAACATCATTTGAGGATCTAGTTTTCAGCAAAGTATGCAATTCGTTACAATATCATTAAATTAAATAAACCAAATAAATCAGTAACATGAGAGAATATAACTATATACAATAGGAAATGTTTTTTTAAATGTCTAGGAAATAATGCCTTTCAGTGCACAAGTATTTTTTGTGATTTTTTTTTTTGCTTCATTCTTTCTTCCCTCTGTTCTCTGAATGCTGAAGAGAGAGGAATGGAGGCTAGAGGTAGTGTCACATTACCTCAATGTCCCATGTAAACCAGAGCCAAGCTTGCTGAGTCCTCTCCCAGAGGAGTTAGTGGTATATAGATATAGCCCATCTGTGGCTAGACAGCGTCCCAGGTCAGTATCTGCAAAACACAGGCACCAATGGAATTCAGTAGGAGGTAAATGAAAGAAACATCAAAGACAGCTGAATAACCTGTAGGGGCAGGGATCAACAAAAGAGTGGACAAAACCAGGCAAGAGAATTAGGATGCAAAAAAAGTGGACCAAGTCTTTGTTTTGCAGACTTTTGCAAATTCAGAAATAGTGATGTCTTCAGAGATCTGATTAAAAAAAAAAAAAAAAAAAGACTTAAAATGAACAGATCCATTTAGCTTGAAAAATAAATGCTCAGATTTACTTTATGGCTCAATAAAAATAGATGTACAGTATGCCCTGTTCAGCTTCCATCACACGTCAGATAGTCATCTGTGAGACAGAGAGACATCACTCCACTTCCTCTCTTTTATCCACTTAAGATCTTTAGTTTCAACTCAAGACAAAATGTTTTCTCTATATGTGACATCGAATGAAACCCAAAAAGGAACAATGGTCTTTCCACCCTTGATAATTTCTTGGATTTAAGATGCATTTCAAACAAGTTCAGTGAATAAATAAAACAGGAAGGAAGTATTATGATGGCAAGTGAGACAAGGAGCATCTTTTCCACAACTTACATTCCAGAGAACTAAAAACTTTCAACCATGGCTGCATATTATTTATATCTTTTCCATTTTAAGTATCACAAAAACTTTTTCTGAAATTGTTTTCTACCTTTACTCTCTGCTCCTCCAGCAGAATTATCTGGTGTGGGCAGCATGTCCTCAAAACCCCAGGAAACACAGTGTTTTCCCCCCAAGAGGCAGGATGGAGACCCCGGGCCTCCTTCCAGGAGCAAAAGTCTTGAACAGGAGAAATATAATGTAGTTACATGTTGGGGAAGTTATTAGGCATTGTCTTTCAGTTAAATCAAAACAGTTTCCCTCACCTGTACAGTACGTCTGACACAGGGAGGTGGCCCAGATCAGTTTGTTTCTGCAGCAGGTGAACTGTGTGGATGAAGGTCTTCAGGGATCCCCTAGAAATGAGTTTGGCAGATTATTCAAGAGAGCTCAACGTGAAACACAAGTGAAAACTCTTGTTAAAATTGTTAATCTTTCCTGGAGCCGCAAGAGGAATAATAACTTGGCATGAATTATGGGCAGGATCTGATGTAAATTTAAAAAATTTAAAAGAGATTATGCCACATTGAGCAATCTTCTTAACTTCTACAGATTTTACTCAGTCAAGAATTAATTAACCTATGGACCACATTCAGGTGTGTGTATTTTAATTCTAAAAACAGTCTACGAAATCAACTAAAACCCAATGCTTGTACCAGAGAAAGGGTTAAGCTATGAAATTATCACTCGTATGTTTATAATAACATTTAATAGTGCTACTGGGAGTATTAAAATCAACAACTAAGACCGAGAGACACCATCAATGCAAGCCTCATGAAAGTGAACCCCGCAATGCCATACTATGTAAACATCTAAACAGCTGATATCAACGTCCTGTGCAGTCCATTTGCTTACATAGCCCTCCTATACAGAGAATTTACTAACCAACTCCAGATGAGGTGGAGGGGGGGGAGAGAGGGTGGTTAAAGCTGATAGCCCTTTAATTAGCTTCCACTGCTGGGTGAAAAAGCATCAGGGCTAGATAGTTCCCCACAACAAAGAGCTCTCTGCCTCAACAGAAGGTGAACAAAGAGTGGAGAGTTCTGGTTTTGACAAGTCAAGATCAGCTGTCACCAACAGAAGCTTGAGCTCAGGCACAAATACAAAAACTAAACAAACAAGGATATTCTGCTCATCTGTGCAGAAAAACTAAAAAACAAACAAACCAGATTAAAGATTAGCTTCTTCAGATATATTTTTGTGTGCTTGCTTCTGTTCTTTGCACGCAAGAATACATGAATATGTCTGACAAGTTGAAAGGGTAAGGGTAACGGCGCAATTTACAAGCATTGTTTGGGTCCACCTGTCCCCTGAAAGGAAAAGGTCACTTTAAATCATAATAAAGGTGCTCTGAGTTATCACATTTAGCCTATAATATAATATTTCTGTGTTTATGTGTGTTGAGGTGAGCAGTCTTTTCTAGGATAACAATGCCTCCACATCAATAGGGTACAAAGGAACACTGAATGAAAGTATGTAACTTATATGAGTCAGAAGTTTCACCAGATCTCAAATCAAATGAACACCTGTGGGAGATTATGAACCAGAATGTAAGACAGAGCTCCCCACTATCCAATCAAAACACCAAACAAGGTAAAGTCTTGATATATTTTCGAAGAGTTCTAGAGAATGAACAAGGCACAATGAAGAGCAAAACAGCTTCATTAAAGCTGTTTTCCTGAATGTTTCTAGACAATACCTGATGTGAGTACATGTAGAACTATCCATTTAAATGTCTTTTACACTTTATCTCCCTTGTACAAACTCTGTGTGAAGTTTACTGAAACCGATGTGGACATATGTGAAAATAGTGCAGGTAAAAACCTGGTAAATTTAAAGTCAATCGCCCTGTCCTGCTTTCTGCATGCTATTCTCAGGCAGAGCCCTCATCTAAACCAAACATCAGTATTTAGAAAGCAGCTGCCACGAATTATCTCCTACACACAAGGCCCCCCTGTGCTGCCTAATGAAGTTAATAACAATGACTGAAACTAAGAAGAAAAAAAGAAGTATTGTTTTCCAACAGCACTACTATCTTACTTCAACAGAATGTAGTTCTGACTACAAGTTCATGGAGCCAAAAAGTCTGTTCATATCCATAAGCTTAAAATCATACCAAAATCTCAACTACTTCTTTATCTTACATTACAAATATCAAAGCAAGATTACCACAGTGCGTTGTGTGGTTCTTAAGAAAAAAGTTAATAATTTAATGTTATTGCCTGATAACAAAAATTGCCACTTAAGAAAAGTATTGTTTTTTCTTGATAGCTTATTTTCACAGGTTTTGCACTTCAATGAGATCTTGTATGTAATCATTCAGTGAATACCATTAGTACAGCACACTGTCTACAAGACAAATGGTAAATGACAAGACAAGACAAAAACAGAATGATCCTAAGAAGGATGCAGGTAGAACAGCAAGGAGGAACGGATGGTCTCACCTGGCACAGGCAAGTGCCACGAGTGCAGCAGCAGCGTTTTCCCTCTGTCTGTGCGTTTGTAGGATCTGCGGCTGAGTGTGTCCATGCACTGGGCCTGACTCCTGGGCACCATCTTCTAGCCAGGAGCATAGCAGTCCCTCCAGGCCATTGAGGCAGTCAGCGGGCTCTTTGCTAAGGCTCAGCGGCTGGCAGTCCCGGAGGCAAGCTAGCAGTACCTCTGCTGTGACACCGCAGAGTGCTGGGTCACTGCGAGTTTGGGACTGTAAAAGGGGAAAGACCAGCAACAGGCCGACACGGGAAGTGAAGGGCGCCTGCTCGGGTTGCTGGAGCAGACCTTGTCTTTTGAGCAAGGCCAAGGTCTCCTCATCAGCCCCTCCAGTCCCTTCTCGCTCCTGCTGCTCCTCCAGGGCCAGCTGCCGCTGCGCCCCCCACAGGCCACGCAGGGCATTGAGACGATACTCCAGCAGACGGGCATATGCATTGCTCTGATTCCCACAGACAGCACGCAGACGCTCGGCAAGCTCTACCGGATTCTTGGTCTCAAATGTTAGAATCTATAGGGCAGAGGTAGTGGGAGAGAGGAAAAAAATCAGGTATTAAACTGTTCACTTTTTTCTTGACCATTTTAGAAAACAATAAACAGTGTATTATTTAGAGATGGGAGACAGTCTTTTGTTTCCTGGCAATGCTGGCTACAAACAAATGAAATCTTCCTTATCAGCAGAAACTTTTAATCAGAATACAGAAAAGACACTATGGAAGAAAAGAGGAGAGCAGTGAGGAATTTTATTCTTACTGACGTAAATTTAAATAACACAGCTGTGTTACACACAAGTGACATCCAAATTTTACTGGCGAAAAACTAAGAATTATTTGCAAAAACAGCAAGATGTTAAAATCTTTTTCAATTTGGCAATTTTTAAAAAAAACAATACGAAAAATCTTGTTCTTATGTAAAACGCCGCCATTCAAAAGTGGGGTATATACATGACTTATGAAATACATTTGGTTTATGAAGATCTGGTCATAAAGCATTTCCCTAGTTAGCTACGAATCATTTCCACAGAAGGAGCTCTTGTTTTTCCAAGTCTTTGGACTACGCAGTAATGGTCAGAGATAGCAAAGCACATATCCTATCACAAGTGAAACAATGTGCCTCATGTGCACTTAGGCAGCATTTCAGATATTGATTACACATGAATCATGGACTAGAAAAAAAAAAATCCATTATAGCATTTAGCAGGCACAATTTGTATTGATTCAATTTCAGAAACGCTGCTTATGTTACAGTAACACCCCATAGCTGGATGCTGGGCCTTCACCTTGCTCTGCAAAAACTGCTGCAAGCGGATAAAAATAGTCAGCATCACAACACCTACGATAACGGCACTGAATGACCGAGCCAGTCTTAAAACTGGACACATGCCTTAAATGTGGAGGATCTGAATGTTACCAAGAATAAATAAACAAACAAACTGAGAGCCTAACAGTGACGCAAGAATGTCTTCTTATTTTATGTTTTAGTACCATTTAGTGGGACTACCCACTATAAATACAAAGTTCGCATTACTACACATAGCTCATCTATTTTGGCTTTGCTTGATAAAACACACGTTTTAGCATTTTATGTTAAGGATGAATCACGCTATACATTATGTAACCATACTCTTTTTTTCAATATCAGTGCTAATTCATAATTAATATGGAAGTTGAAGAATTTATTACCATAAAATGTCCATCATAAGAAACCCTGCTGTAGGTCATTATGAATGGTTATTTTACAGTAAAGTAAAGTTTTGCTTTGAAGCTTTACCGAGTCCTCAGTTTAAGCATTCTACTCTTACAAACATTTTCCAAACTGGAATCCTGAGAACTCAGTAGTAAAGAAAGGCTCTGGAAATGTTGTGTTTCTAACACAGGCACCTCTAGTGTTAAGAACATGGTGTGTGGAATTGTGCTAATAAACTGCTTCTTCCACTATGCAGAGACTATTCTGTATTTGAAAAGTTTTGGTGCCTACCAAGGCCTACCCCAAAACCAGGTGATCAAGGATAAACTGGTAATGCAGCTATTTGGGACATAGTTTGAACTAACAGAAAACATAAAAGCTGCATGTACAGATTCATGAGTTTGATGCGGTGGCCTTTCTTCATATAAGCCAAGCCCATTGTGACTGTAAGTAAACATTCACAAAAACAAACCTGTTTTGTGGCTATTAGTACAAGAGTAAAGATAACATCATATAAAAAAATATTCAGTTTATTGATGTTTTTTTTGTCAGATCCAAAAGATCTAAGCAAGGAATTTGGAAACATACATTTTAATTAAAATGTTATAGATAGATAGATAGATAGATAGATAGATAGATAGATAGATAGATAGATAGATAGATAGATAGATAGATAGATAGATAGATAGAAAACTGATATTTTGTAAGAATAGTGCAGATTGCAATAATAAATATGTACACTATAAAGCTAAGAAAAACAGCTGCATTAAGGTGTAACACAGAAATATGCTTTAAAGCATCTGTAAGTGAAAGCCTTGAAATGCAGCTGACTGATTGCAAGTATGAACTCTTGTAAAGGTTAAGTTCAGCACACAATTCATAACTATTCCCACTTTATCATGAAGTTTGCTTGTTTAAAGCCAGTAACCATCACTGTCTGTTAGTCTACTACTCATTAACAAGCAACTCCGAGCACAAATTAGACCCCAGCTCATGAACATGTGACATGAAGACTGCCGCAAATATTCTCCACGGTCTGGTGGATCCTGCTAGATTCAAAACAAGGCACAGTAGGGAAATATCGAGTATGTAAATATGCGGTGTTAGCTCGTTGTTTCCATCAGAATCACTGTAAAGTTTCTGGTCATCTAACAACATTGATTCTTCCGGTTATGGGATGAGACTTTCAAAATAAAAGTCGTTTTAAAAGCTTAAACATTTGGTAAACAATAGTCTGCAAAACATAGCTTGTTTTGTGCTTCGAGAACAAGATTCAGAGCAGGAGAGATGAGAACTGTTTTTCCCCTGCGTTTGACAATGACCATAAAAACACTTCTCAAGGAAAGAGCAGCTATGTCACCTTTACATAGACTAAATCTGTTTACTATGCACTAAATAAGCCAAGGTCTAGTCAGGAAAAATAAAGGCATACATGCATGTGTTTAAGTGAAAAAAAGTAGGAGCTGTGTAGCTTGATACCTGAAGTACACCTCTAATTGACATATTAGCTCAACACTGAGTACAATATTAAGTACCAAATCAATATGACTTCCACATTAATATACTAGAAGAAAGACACTACGTAACATTAGAGATTTTAGAAATGAAATTTACCATGTTTGTAATAGGACTAAGTTATATTTTGAAGGAAGGGGCAGGAATTGAGTTGTCACGGCTCTCGGTTACCTTGATGGTAAATTTAGCAGGACAGGAAACTTGCAAACGTCTGCACTACCGTTATTACGGAGGGTGTGTTTCAGGTGACAGTCAAAACTAATTCTTACATTAAATAAACAAAAAGACACACTGATCTCATATATACACAAATGTATGTATACAGCTCTTTATGTTTGTTTGCATGTGTGTGTGTGAGAGAGAAACTGAGCTGGAAAAAAGAGCGATGGCTTTTACCCACCTCTTGCTCGGTGTCCCCCTGCTCCGATACTCCAATTTCACTGGGCAGTTCGGCCAGATCTGTGACCCGAATGAGACCGTCGTGGAGAAAAATGGTCTCCTCCTTCACCGAAAGCCACTGGGACGAATCCACAGCCCCGGAGCCCATCGCTCTCCCCTCCGACAGCGTAGCCAAAGGGGTCGAACATTAAAAATTCAGTGACAGAATGACAGAAACGCCCTAGCTAGCCTGATAGCGACTCACAATAACATAACGGCCGTCAGCGCCGAGGTCTTATCTAATGGTAGTGTTTGACAAGGGAGACAAGCTAACTTGACGAGTGCCAGTCAGCGGGCGAGCTGTAGTGGCAGGTGTTCTTTACATTACATGGGTGCTCTGGTCATGCTAACAGCGGCTGCTAGCTGTCTGGCTCAGTTAGCTGAAGCGGAGCTAACTTACCGTACGGTATCGTTATAGCGTTACCGAGCAGAGTGGGCGTGACAGCCGTGCTAAATCCGTTATTGCGTCGCACTGTCTAAACGACAGTCTTTTCAAGACGCAAAGTGAACCTGTAGTACTCTCATTTCACGGCTACAACCCGACTGCAAGCAGCTCTGCTAATGGCCCGGTATCTGTCAGTGCCTGGAGAAGATAATGAGAGTCACCAAGCTGTCAGTGCGACGCCATGTTTCCAAGGCCAACTAACCGCTCCCAGAATGCACCGCGTGCTAAAATAAAAGCTGTCTAAAGTCATTTATTTTGGTATCTAAAACCACATCTTATCACAGCTGTGAAATGACAAAGGCACATTTATTATTTAATTTAAAGATCTTTAAAAAAATCAATGTATTATTATTATTATTATTATTATTATTATTATTATTATTATTATTATTATTATTAGTGCCATCTGCCTCTATGACACCCTAACCCTAACATCCTCCTCTGTCACAACAACCTTTTGAATGTGCTCTTTCACTACATCCATGAACTTTCTCTGTGGTCTTCCTGTTTTCCTCCTGCCTGGCTGGAGACAACAAATTTTGTCCAGTATAGCTGCTAGCCCTCCTCTACACATGTCCAAACCATGTCAGATTTGCCTCTTTGTCTCCAGACCTCCCAATCTAAGCTGTCCCTCTAAGACAGTCTTAACATTTCAGCTCAGCCTTCTTTCTTTTTGTCAGTGCCACTGTTTCCAAACCATACCTCATAGCAGGTCTCACTGCCATCTTGTAAACCTTCCCCTTTACTCTTGCTGCTATCCTTCTGTCACAAACCACCCCTGAACCAGCCTGAACCAGCTCCACTCTCTTCTTGACCCTAGGTATTTAAACTTGTCCACCTTCACTGGCTCCTCGTAGCTTCACTGTTATACCTGACTCCATCTCATTCATAGACATGCATTCTGTCTTGCTTCTACTGACTTTTATTCCTCTAAAGAAAGAGCCAGTGGCTGAATATTCAAGCACTTAAATTTTTTGATTTACAGCTGCTGCATGCGGGAAGGCAAATCAGCTGTTGTTCTTTCTAAGGAAGTTGTGAAGTTTTAATGTAGACATGACAATAATTAAAATGTTGAATTCTTCCTTTACTGACTCAATGCTTTTCCATGATTTGCTGGGTTTGTAGCTTTAATCTTTATCTCTTTATTCTAGTTTTTTCCCTCACTGAGTCATACAATATACAGTGCAGACGACAGAGTGAATTTAAAATCAATTCAAAATCAAACAGAAACAATAAAATGATTTAATTATGTTTTCATTCCACAATCCAATCATTTGCAAGTCCACATGCAAATGCTAACTTACATTTATAAGAATGTAATTACATTTATAAGACCATACTTTGCTAGTCGAGGGCCTTACTTCTTAAAATGCTGCAATTTTCCACCATCAGGGAGAAAGAGCAAAGCCTGCGTGAAATCTAAAGCTTATAACATTTATTGTTACTGCACACAGCAGCTTATTCTACAGTCATCTGAACCGTGCCATAATATCAGCTCCGCTTTCTAGCCTCAGGCATCGCTTATAAAGGCGAACAGGAATCCCTCTTTTTCTGTCAGTGCCTGAAATTCGCACCCCAGCAGAGTCTTTTTCCTCTATCTTCTTAAGCACTTGATGTAGGTCAGAGGCTTTAGTGAAGCCTCTAGAACAGCTAGGGAAAAAAGACATAAAAATATCAGCAAGAGAACTCAGCACAGTAATCTGTTACAGGCAAACTGAGTGAACATATTAGACAAGGGACTGGTACTGCTTTAACCGAAAAGTGTTAGAGATTAATGCGAATAAGCATATTGGAGCTTAAAACCTTTTTTTGCCGTGGCATTTTTCCTCGTTTGGCAGTGTAAAGCAATGCTGAGAGACGAAATGCAGCATGAGAGAATGCAGAATGCTTGGTCGCTTGAGGCTTTCAATCTGAACAGCCAAGCTGTAAAATTGACAAAAAGGACAAGTGACAAGTTAATTCTTGTATGTAAGGCAATAAGATCACTTGTAGGAAACCAGTTAGACATACAGTAGAGCAAGAAAAATTTCAGAAAGGGAATAATATCATTTATATCTCTCCACGTGTGATCTCAGAGATATAGGTAAAAAAAAAAAACATTACATTTTTATAGAATAAATAGTAATGAAGAAAAATACTGTATTCCTACCATGTAGTAGGCAGCAAAGTCCATAATCCAATATAAACATATCAAATATCATATTAAAACCATGAATGTATGCACACTGTGCCTTATTCTAACAAGAAATGACATACCTCGATCCAGGCATGCTTTTATTGTATTGGCAATGTGTTTGGGATTATCGTCATGATGACAAATGAAACCATTACCAATCAGAGGGTACTGCATGGCGGATCAAATTCTGTCCGTACATTTCGGTGTTTGTGATTTCATGAATTAACCTCCATGTGGAAATATGTTGAGATTTGGCGAAAAGTGCTTTGGTAATCACCTTGTTGGTGCGAAAATGCTTTTTTAAGTCCTGCTAAACTGGGTTATCTTTGAAGATTTTCATTAATAGAAATGGGAAAAATGTTACTCACAAGTGGTCTAAAGATACCACTTAAAATTGATTCTTTCTAAGTGTTCTGTTATGTGTAGTCACAACACCTGCTCAAAAGTATTCTTCAAGACCATTTAAAAAATAATTAAAGTTTGATTCCTTGGCACAAAACAAAAAGAAATAAGTGGTGGCTCAAGACTGTTCCACGGTAAGTATTTTTTGGCTGCTCCCTTTCCACATGTCACCCACATTGGGTAGGATTCCCTTTCTGGTGTAAACCCAAAGGGAATCTTTGCCTGCAACTGAAGTTAAACCATAATCTTTTAGTTTATAAATAAACAAATACTTGGTATTGGAAAATATGCATCTTACAGTGTGCCGTCCCTCCTGCCATCACAGAAAATGTGGACTCTGATGGAGACAGAGTCACAGCTATTTCCAGTATTGCAACAGTAACGCAGTACTTATTTTGGATGGTTTCCTATTTTAACCAATATTATAGTTCCACTGGTCTTTAATGATACCGCTGCTACAGTCATTAGATTATCGGGGTGATTTCGGTTGAATTAATTCACAGCTGTGTAAGGCTCGTATTTCCTTAACCTCATTTGACGGTGTCAAAACGCTAATTCCAGGGATAAGATTACTGGTGTATTAAATAAAACAATCGTGAATGAAGTAATTCCCAAGCTGTGAAGCTAGGATTACTTTTTAATGTGTTGACATCGTAAATTTCTTTCATGATTATTTATCTGTTCTACAGCCATAAACATCAGCAGAACAGGGGGCAATCTTATTAAGGGGCAATTTGGTTAAACTCAGTACCTCCTTACATTTCATGCCTTTATCACCTCCTGCTCCCGCCTGGACCACTGAAATGCTGTCCTAGCTCGTCTGCCTATTTGAGCCATGTTCAGAACTCCCACATCACCCCCACCCTCATGTGCCTCCACTGGCTCCCAGTCAAGTCCTACAGCTTGCAGAAGAAATACTGCTCCTCACCTACGTCCTGGTTTTTAACTTCTGTGTGTAAAATGACCTTCGGCCCAGTAGAAATCAGATTTATAATTATTATTATTTAATCATTAATAAACCTTTATTAAAAAACACATTGTCCAGTCTTTGATCGGGGCAGCTAACTTCCTTTGTAAAATAGGCCGCCTGAATACGCCTGAATGTTGCATAGGTGTATAACATACAATTATGTGAACATAGAACATGCAAAACATAATGCAACACTTATGTCATATAAATAAAATTGTTACCGGCTGGTGCAGTCACAGTGATAGGCGGTCTTCGACTCCATGTTCTGGAGGCCATATCTTTTTTTCAAAGGAGGGATTTTGAATTTACAGTAGTCCAGATGTTTGAGGCTTTCACACAGGAGCTGGCTATCTACAGGAGCAAAAACATATATGTGCATATATATTTATGAGTGTACTCAGATTTCTTTACAGAACTGGGTATATTTGCTGGTTACTGATGCTGCTATTTTCTAGTAAAGATTAGCCCTCTTTTTTTGGCATTTGTAATTTGTAGTCAGCAACAATGACGATTAGCATTCTGTCCCATCGGTAACGACAGCTAATAACACAGCTGAGCAGCCTGGTAATTATTAATAGAATAATATCCTGAACTTCTTCTTTAAACACATACATTTCTCTGTTAAGCTACAATCAAACTGCTCATGTGGAAAACTAACTGATATACTAACAAATAAAAATAGCCTTGACAGTCATTCAACTCACTACCTTGCATACTTTCTAACCTCCCCTCTTGAGAATATTTTGTAATTAATAACTCAATCCCATTAATATTACAATTAAAATTAAATATAATAATTTGGATTGATCCAGAAGAACATGAATGTTTCCAACCAAAGTGAAAAATGACTCATTTTAAAAGCAACTAAAATATTAAATTGCATTTCAGATGCTCAAAATTAAAGAAAGAGGAAAATCAATGGCTTAACTTGCAGCTATAGCCCTGTCAGCAGCTGTACGCACTCACCTGTTATCTTATGCAACATTTTACTTTGTTTAAGGCTCCTCTCTGTATGGGTGCTTTGGGCTGTGGTGCTACCTGTGAGCCCCTGGTTTGAGTTATTCATTAACAGATAGGAGTGCACCTGCTTTTGTGGCTCATCATCCTTATTAAGCGGGGCTGCTGTTTTTAGTTTTGCTGCAATGGGTGTTGCAAAAGTAGCCGTTATCAAAGTGTTTGATGTGAGTGTATTTGTTGTCTTTTCAACACCCAGTGTAGTCACTTTGATTGGTAATCTGTCCGTAGTTGTTTTCATATGAGATTTTGTTTCTCGTTCCAAACAGCTTTCACAGCCTGACTGAAAAGCATCACCCCTCACACGCTTCCTGTGTCCACAGCAGCCGTTTCTCTTGATAACGTCTTTGTGACTTTTGTTGGTTTTGGTCACTGCGGCTGTTGTTTGGTGGGGCTGAAGTTCTGGCATCTGTGTTAAAGGTGATGGTGCTGTAGATGAACTCTGCAGATCAGAATTTGAGCTGAGCTGTGGCGAATCTCGGCGTCTCAGTGTGGAGTAATCTGGCAGGCCCACTTTGATATGCTGGCTTTTCTCGCTTTCTTTACTCTGTAAGCTACTTTTAGAAATCTTTAAAAGACCTGTTTCCACTGACGAAGCAGTGGCGTGTGCCTTTGATGTTGGAGGCAACTGTGAAGGTGCTGCTCCATGAGGTTTATGGCGTCTTCTGCATCCTCTTGCTTTTGTCCATCTGCGGTGGAAAGTGTCTCCTCTGGGTGGGTCTCTGAATCTACACTGATGCTGAGTTTTAGATGACTTTCTGCGAGGGGGGCTTTGAGTTACATGCTGCTCCTTGTTACTTGGTAACTTGTTGGTGTCAGTGTCCGCATATTTTTGCTCAGCATCAGAGGTGTTGTAGGGGAGGGGGCTTTTGAAGACAGCATATGGAGCTTCTTTGGCTACTTTGCACCTATAGAGAGAGTACAAAGACTTGTTACAACAAAAGAACGTAAAGGAGAACCATTTTCAAAACGTTAAAAAAACATTCTGCTCAGCACATTTCTTATCATTTCTTATTTTCTTACTTTACTTAAATAGATCCTAGCTTTTGAGGAAGATAACGATAGTGACACAGTGGAAATTAAAGACCTACTGGCAGAGTTTAAGGCATGTTAATACAAGCTGCAGAAGTGCATCTGCCACTCAGGCTTCCAAAGCAACCATACCAACACTGTTCACAGAACAACCCCTTTTCTATGGTACTGAGCAACTGTTGTGTCTAATAATATGCAGTCAAAGTATCAAGCAACAGTGTCTGTGCCTCTCTTACATCCCCCACCAGTACATCTCAGTGCACCGCCTCTGCTGCTTGAGCTCAAAGCAGGGAATCCGGAGGATGTTGAAGAAGCTGTAGCCTACCATATTAGAAATGCTATCATTCACGTCCAGAAGGCACTGTCGAAACCTAGTTAGAGGCAGAAAAAAGAACGAGGCGAGTCAAAGTTCAAAAAGCAGTCCAGTCAATAAACACACGAATGGCAAGTGTTTCGTCATGTTTGACTATTCCCAAACATTTTATAACCACATCCATGTACTTCTTTGGGATGAACACCAAAAAGTACACACAGACTTGTCAAGACTGGATGATTTTACAAAATAAAATCACAGCACATACATAATATGTATAAGGAATGGAATGCCCTCCAAATACTGCAGAGCAGCGTGTTCACTCTTGAAATCAGTTTATCTGGAGGGGTGAGCGCAGTGATGCATTTATTACCCCTTTATAAACAGTTATGTCACATGGCCCCGGGCTCGTCTACTTAAATCGGTTTGCGTTTACTGGCACCCTGCCAACATCACACGATAGGAACTTTCCTCCAAGTTTATTAGTCGGAAGTTTAAGAAGGCATTAATACTGATAAATTCAGCCTTTGAGCAAATCTGCCTTTACCTGACTTTCCATGCCAGCCAGGGCAGTATGTGGAGATGTCAGGGGGTGGAAAGTGAATTAGTGGTTGCAGGAGTTTCCCTTGAGGCGATGAATACTTGGAATCCTGCCTCTGTGTTAAAGATGCCCGGTGGGTGTGTTCTGACGCTCACCTTTGGTCACACTCACAGTGTGAGACGGTGAAGAGGTTGCGGTTGAACACTCCATAATTCACCGTAAAGGCCGGGATGATCTGCAGGCAGTGGTCGTGCTCACGGCAGCATCTGTCTGTACCCTCAAACATCCCTGTGTGCAGGATTTAATCACACATCAAAGGGAACTTTGCTTGGAAGCAAAGCTTTTTTTCAAGCAAAAGATCACATACCTGATTTGAAAGAAAAAGCTGCAGACTTCAAAGGCAGTTATTTGAAAATTAAAAATGTATGGGTCACAAGATTTTCAATTAAATTAAAAACAAAACAAAACCCTGAGCCACATCTTTTTGATGTGACTATCATATAAAAATATCAAGCACCTCTTAATTAGATGTTTGGAATCTAAGTATATGAGTGATTATTTTGGGGAGAGGGTAAAACAGCTATATCACATTTTATAGTTAAAAAACAAAAAGAAATCCATTATTCTTATATTGGCATCTAAGGGTGATAAACGTGATAAACAAAGGGCACAATCTGGCCTGAGATTTGACTCAGTATAGGTTTACATAGCAAAGGTTATCGACTATGAGGCCATCTGATGTACTCCTATGTGGGAGTCATACCTGCATACGTGCTGATAAGAGTGCTTGATAAAATAATGTCTATTTTGTTCTGTCCTATACCATCTCAGTTTACAGTTTTTCTCAGTTGCTTTGGTGCATGTCTCACAACAGAATTAAACTTTGCACAATAGTTAGTTCAACCTCCACAACATGTAGTCGTTTTGGCACAACCTTGTGGCAGTTTCATGTTCATGAAAGGCAAATGCCTTTGGACATGAAGCAGTTGAGTAAGTACAATTATCTAAAGAATGGTCACTTTTGACTTGCTATTCATCAC